GTCCGTTAATAATAAAATAAATATATAACTGAATAACATAAAATATGTACACTCAACTGACTGCAGCATCGGTGATGGTCATACGATCACAGGATCACTCACACAATTTAAAACCCGTGCTCTTTTAAGTTTTTCCTAGTATTGTAACTTTATAAATCGTGGCTCTCATTTATTATACTATTACTTATTATTTATTGTTGGATTGTATTATTTGGAATTTCAAACTGTTAAATAAAATATGAATTTACGCATATTGGCCGCCGTCCGTCAAATAGTTAATCAAATGTTGTAATGTGTTTCCCAATAAATAACTATATTACAATTACAAATACCATATTATAGAAGTTATATCATATATGACAATACGGCACAACTTGTATCAAAAGTATCATCAAAAATCTTGACACATTGTATGTAACGTTCTAGTATTGTAAGATACATATGTAATTATATAGAGTATTTGAGTATTTTCGAGACGACAAAGCGTCTCAACAATTATCATTGTTGTCCGTATTGTCATACATAGTATTTGCTAGTAACTATAATTTACATAAGGTACTAGCTGATCCCGTGCGCTTCGATGCCCGTTAAAAATGCCAACTCTACATAAGAAACTTTATTGTGATAATGCGAGCAGTAGGTATATTATCAGTTAGGCAATCTACCTGTGGTAAACGCTGTTTTGCTAAAAAAAATTTTTCAAAAGAATAATTTTTGTAGATTTATTTAAAAATCCAAAATTATTGTGAGTGTGTGGAGATGTTGTATACTGGCATATGATTTAAAGATAAATAAAGCACTATGAACGATGACGGCCTATAAAAATGATAAAATAATCAAATATTAATGTTTTTCCTTGTCCTCGCTGGCTCTAAAGTAAATTGTAAAAATGTATTTGGTTCGTTTGACATCGGTTAGGTTGCCCTCAATCCCACTTTGTGTTAAACTTGGCCTTTGATTATGACTGTTGAATTAAATTGTTGATAATTTGCTTAAATGTATCTTAAATGACACGTTAACCCATTCAGCCATCACTACTTTTGGAATTATGGGAGCGTAATAAGATTGTTGAGCCCATGTAGTAAGCCCATCACGTTAAAATTTTAATTATAATAATATTTTTTTTTAATTTTTTATTTTTATGTCAGCAATATTATACATTGATCGATAATTTTTAATTTGATTTTTTACCAAGCAAACAAAAAATTTAAACAATATTGGCATTTTCTTTTTCTAATAATGATTAGATTAATTAAACATTCATGTTATAAGAAATGCAGGTATTAAATAAATGATTGCTAATTAGTAAAATAAAATAAAATTGTATACACGCAGTTTATCTGGTAACGCCAACAACGGAAAATGGAAGATACATAATTATAAAATAATAATCGAATAATCATATTTCATATAGACAAAACCTAAATTTTATCTCTACTATCGACTATAGAGTTTCATGTAAAGAGAGGGTATTTACGGCATTAAATAAAATTTAACAGAATAAAAACGATACGAAACTTATCACTTTACAAAATTTAAATTTTACTTTATATAGTGAAACATAATATTAATACCTTATATTCACACGACATATTTCTCCATGTTGATCAATTTTTTGGTGTTGGCCGGGGGCCCCCTTTTAATGATTAATTGTGTCATAAGGACAATTTTATAAGTTAAAGCTTGCAGTAGCTTTTTCAATTCGAAAAAACATTAAGAATATCAAAAAATAAATCAATAAAAGTATTTTCCAAAATTTTTTTTCGTAAAATTTTTTTCCTGGCGATTACGAACAATTAAAAAAATTTGACCCAAATCGGCCCAGCCGTTCTCAATTGATGAATTTTTATACATTTTTATATAATATATAGATTATTTATTACTATTTACTATTAATAAAACAACTTATTGTTTTGAAAATAGTGAAATGGTTATCAACATTTTAATCACGATCTCATGAACATATTATTAATGGAATTTACGTATTTAAAATTTGAAAAACACGTACATTTAAAAAAAAAATACCGGTATCCAATTTTTTTCGGTTTGGAATTTATAACGGTTCATACCGGTTTTCCTGAAATCTGTTTTGAAAACATTTTCAAGCCCTGGAAATAACATCAACCAAAAATGCAATATCTCGCTTGAAAATTTAAATATCCAAAAATTCACCGATGCTTAAGCATAGATAATGCTCTTATCTACAATTTTGATAACAGGTCAATTCACTCTAATATCAAAACTAACAACACACTATTTTAACTAGTGAACGAAAATAATCTATGACTATGAGTCTATGACATATGTGTATAAGAAGGAGACAACAAAATATGCACGGGTAGCATCCTCTTAAGGGGTTCGGTGGTGGACAGTTTTTAAGGAGTTCGAAATAGGCAATTTTCAAATTTCTTACAAGCGGGTCTAGTAAATGTGTGGGTACTGCGTAGTAAGTGATGATTAGTGTGTGTGACTGTGTGTAAAAGAAATAGCGAAGTGTTCCTGCTCGCACATGTGCAAGTCATCTTCTCGTCGTTACCCTAGTGAACGGTAAACAATTTATGATCATTTATATGCATATTTTGTCCATCCTACCAATCAACCTAATAATGCTATAATATTTTAGCAAACTGATCCGAATTCGTTTTAATATCTTCTTGAAATTCGTTTTTTTATAGTCTTGATTCATACACAAATTTAAGTGAAAATTGTACAGTACTTAAAATTAAAATAAGGTGTAAATATCACGGTAATAAATAGTTTTAATAATGTTAATCTTTAACAATCCTAGAATAATTATTTTCAGAGACATATTTTGAACCTGATCGTCCTTATAGGTTCGACTTGTTTTGATAGGACATTTTAACTAGGTACCTATATAATAGTGAAAACCTAGAAGGTCAGGCTTGGGTCAGACATTTACAGTATATTGTTGAGATTATCACCATAAAATAATTAAAATAAGTAAATATCATATACCAGATGATATATACTATTTTGTGTGACATATTATTTATATATTGTAGTAGCCTAAACCTACCTACATTAGATTTTAGTTTGGTACAATGTACATACAACTATATAAGGTGTTCAAAAGATTTGGAAATCTTTAATTACTGTTGTCATATTTTTATACCTACATATAATATAGTAATAACATCGGCAATAACAGAGAACACTACTACACATTTATTAGGTAAAATATTTAATCAGCGCTAATAAGTAAATTGACCGTTTCCAAACTAAACTTAAGAATACCATGTATAAATTTTCGTGTATTGTAGACAGTCATCAGTCATAAGTCATAACTCATATATATTACTATATAATAATTTAATATAGGGACCTACCACCTACATATTTAAGAAACATATTTTAGCAATTACATTATGCATTAAGAGGATATCAGCTCACTGTATGTTTTCTCTCTCTGGCCTTTGCTCAGTAATAATTTTTTTTATGATTTAGAATAATAAAATTTAAATTTTTAAATGGGTAACTAATATAAATTTGTATAGACCTCAAAAACATTATATTTATTTATATGTATAAAATCATGATGTTTATTGATGTTTCGGTAAAATGCATTTGTACAGTTCCACGCTTTACCTTAAACTTGAGAAGATTCGCATTTTGCAAGTTTGCTATTGATCACAATAATTTTAGATTTATGTGTTAGGTAAACGTTTATAGTCGAGTTGTACAGCTACTACAATATATACCATATTATGTATGCATAGTGTGTTTGAATGCTCTAAAATAAAAATGGCAGACAGAATATTAGGGTAGGTCCGACTGTCCAAGATATGAAGTATGAAGATCTAATTTACCATTATAATAATACCTACCTATAACACGCGGAACAGCCTAAATTCGATTTCCCGCTCGCAACTGATATCTGATGACACTGGCCAGCTTGGCCAAGTACTGACGTACTGTAGATGAGCCTTGACTTGTAAGCCGTACATAGGTCGACAAGTTGTGTTACTATCGTTCTATGGTGGTACCTTTGACTCAAGCATAAAAGTTTGCCTCCGACTTCCGAGGCAATCCTAAAGAAGCCACATGGTGATATGCAAATTTCAATAATATTACGAGCATATTTCCAGAATATTATTTCATTATTTCATTAATGATGTCTTATCTTATTATTAATATATTCAAAATATAATTTAAACAATTCATACTTAATGTATGAATATGTATATTATATCATCTTACATTCAGTAGTTATAACTAACATGTGTTTTTTTATTGAAGTACATATTCTATGGAAAGACATTTGTATATTAAATCGTTTTTAATAATTTCAACTACCATAGTTAAATATTTAAAAGTAATTTGAATAAAACATGTGAAAATGTGAAAATCATAGTGCCGGAAGTCCGATCATTTTGTGAGTCAGACGGATACAAAGATATTGGAATGTTTAACATTATGGAATTTTTGTACACGATTTAAAGTGTTGTAGACCACCCAGGGTTTTCTCGGTTAGTTATTTTTTTTTATCTGTGGTTATAGCAGCTGCATTCCAGCGTTCATATACGTGTTGTCTACCAACGAACGTCCCACTGCCATCGGCTGGTTCTGCGAAGCCGAAGTCTATTTGCCGTAAGCATATAAATCCATTATAACACTGTTACATGCATATTACACATTTATTTTATTTTTCAATAAAATGCTCTCGAGGATTTGGAAAAAAAATATTCTACATGATACCTTCTTAACAGCTTTACGAGAAAAAAATATCGCAGTGCACTGCAGTAATGCATGAGTGGGCATTAGGTATATTATAACAATGGGCCATTTAAGACCCAAATCTCATGATTCATGGCTTTGGAATTTGTGTAAAAAAACTGTCGACCTATACACATCTACAGGCTATGCGCACCTACAGGTATGTTCGTTGTCCGGTTGGAGCGCACTTAACGCCCCTTCCTAGTTCTGAAAACGCTGTTCGTTATAGCCGCCACCGTGGCGGCTTATTTAAGCGAACCCAGAGACCCTCTAGTCATTAGTGTTACAGACATATGCAGTTCAGACAATACAGCACCACAATGTCGGTGCCGAAAATATTAATTTTGATTACTGCTATCACCACAATTAGCGGGGAGGCACTTGACATCGGTATCGATACGGTTCGGAACAAAGGTGAGTTATAAACCTTTATTATTATTCCTTTTATTTTTGTTACTATTGATGAAACACGTTTTTAAGTTAATTTTTTTTTTATTTAGAAGAATTTTCGCTCATTTGATATTTTTAATTATTTGCTTTAAATTACGTATTTGTTATTTCACATTAAAAAAATTAGAATAATAAGTTCTAGTATTTATTTGAATTGATTTATTTTGATTGGCTGGACAAAAGATGCTCAATTAAATCAAAATGTGCTTTTTTAAGGATAAGAAAGTATGTTGAACACTCTCTCAATTATTTTGATGATGTGGCTGATTTATTAACATATTATTCACTATTTGATAGTTAAAAATATAATTTATGGTTATACCTAATATGAATTTTTTTAATTATAGTAAATACAAAGTTTATTTGTAATTGCAGTAGGTAATAACAATATATTTTTACATTTGTTTTCGCTAGTTAGTCCGATATTTCGTTTACGATTAGGTACATATTTTATGTATAACCTCCCGATTAACAGCTATTTTAGTGGCCATGCCATTGTACCAACTATAAAATAATATAATTACATAATTATTATGTATACGTATTAAATTGACTTCTCAAACATACATTTAATTTAACTAGATAAGAGGTACCTATAAAAGAAACTAATAAAATCAAAAAATTGTATTTTAGAATATAATAGTTTTATGTTTCAATTTATAAACTGTTCATTTGATACTTAGGTATTCCAATCTATAAATATTTTCTTCCATCCTAAAAAATAATAAGTAGCATATTTTTCTCCCCTTTTGTATTTCTTAAATACACAAACTTAAACACAGTGTATCTATAAGAATATAATCAAATAACCATATAATTGTTTTTAAATTATTCCTTTTATACCCAATTGATAATTTATATTTAAAAAAAAAATGGAATACATTATACAATATAATATACCTATATAATATTGCATACTATCAATTTTTATAATTATTGAAAATAAATCATGGGGGATTCCCTCTAGATTGACCGGTACTTTAACTGTAATGGTAATAATTAATATTATTATTGTTATTTTTTTAATTAAAAAAACCACGTTTTTTGGAACTGAAATATTTTTTTTGGATTTTGGAACTACCTATTTGCTCCGTCGATATTTTTTATTTATTTGCATTAAATTTGATGTTGAAGGTTTTATTTAGATATTTATACAATGTATTATTTATATTTGGTTGTTTGATTATAATCCATCATAATTTCAGCTCTGGTTTCCCATCGTAATAAATTGATAGACACGCTGTCCCGAATGAAGCTGATCGTCCCTGACTACGACAAATATGAATTTATGTGGACATTACGGACTAATATTGACGTGGTTCTGCCATCACCAAATGCCGATACTACAAACACCAATTCCATCGTTGGCCAGCATGGAAACCCACGGTAAATACCTCCTGATTTTACATTTTGATAATAATGAACCGAATTTTCTCCCCCTAGGACCCTAGGCTCTACTCCACCTCTTGGCTCTTTCAAACGCTTCTCAATAATATCATATACAAAAACAAAATAATTAAATAGTCTAATATGAAGTTAATAAGATTTTTAAAAACTGATTTGAATTTTTTTACTTGTGTACTAAAGATTAATCAGACCACTTTTTTAAAATTGTCTTCCTAACTCTTAAAGATTTTGTTTGTATATTGAAAAGTATAACATTATACATTTTGAATATTCGAAAATTAAATTATATATCCTTAAATGTAGCCAGATGATCTTAAGTAGACATATTAATGAGTTCAAATCGGTTTTCTGAAGTCCTATTGCGTTATCAGGTACATCGGTATTAATGAGACAATAGTGCATACAAATGAGCATACTCTAAAGATCATTTCACTAACCATGTCGACGGGGTGACTTGTACGTGCGCTTGCCATTTTTTGTATTTACAGTACCATACTCACTAATGATCATTTACTACACACTTATTTTCAAGATACGCATGCGTGCAATTTGAAAAGGCCTTTAGAGAACTCCTGAAAAACTGCTAATTTGCAATCCAATCTGCAGTACCTCCTTATAATACAATGGTTAACATTTAAAATAAATTAAATAATATTATTGTATATTTTCGGATGAAACATTATAAATTTATAAATATAAACAGCAGTATAATAATTTTCCATTGTGAATAGTGCATAGTTAGCTACTTTTTGTAAACATTTAAATCTTCCATCTAATGGACTATTTTCATTCTACTGTATGTAAAATAAATCACTCTAAAATTAAAAATATTCTATGATTATTTATTTGATCCAGATTTTTGTTTTCTTGATAATGAAAATGTATGAATGACCCACGACACATTACTGATTTTTTAGGTTTATTCATTGATAGTTTGATATATTCTTTGTTTAAAGTAGTAATTTATTTATAGCCAACAATATTAATTTCATAACTGCTCGTCTACACAAAAATTAACTATATTTAGCAATTGGTAGTAAATAACTCATCAGTTTATCGTATTCTTATATTTTTTCACTATAATCATGTTAATGTATAAATACAATTTAGAATCTATACATATCTTCATTTTTTCATTGTGATTTTTGACGGTTAAAATATTGCTATTTATGGTTATTGAAAGGTGTAGTGGTTGATATTTAGTTTTTTAAATCGGAATTTTCTTGGCTTTCTTAAGCCTATGCAATAATATTTTGCCTCTTACTCCAAGAGTAGACGATAAATTAGCTTAATTTTGACCTTATAAATTCATATATTATGCTTAACAATAGTTGGCCTCTAATTGTTGAATAATTCATACCACAAAATATTACTAAAAAATAACAAAATGTAAACCAGTGTTTTAAATATGAATTACATATTTTGTGAATAATTACAGATTGAATTGTTGTGTTTATCGATATACCATTCTAAATTAGTCAATTTATATTATAATATAATATTGTACATAATTTGAAAAAGAAAATAGCATATTTTGTAGTGACTTACATTTGCATATAAGTATCTAATGAGATTTTTTTTATTATGTAAGAGGATCGGTTGCGCATTGATAGATATTTAAAACAGTGGGCCATAGTGACTTCCAACTAATGAAAAAGAACATACGTTCCTGTTCCACAACCTTGAGACTTATTTTTATTTTTTTACTTGAATAGGGAACGACGACAAGCTTTAGATAAAACTAGACATGAAAATGGTGGACTTGGTTTTCTGTCCCACCTCGGAACCATGTATCCAAATGAAGTGGCAAGATTTCCGAATGGCGATGTCATAAACGGTTATGCTGTCAACATGGAGGTAATAAATTGGATTCGTGAACAGCTGATAACCCAGATGATGAATCGTATTCGAGAATTCAAAATATATGATCCAAAAACAATCCCAGCGTTGAATGTTGATAGAATCAGGCTGGGCCGTATTTAGGGGGGAGCAATAGGGACATTTGCCCCAGGCGGCCAATTATTGATCTATTCAGAAGGCGGCCAGGCCCTCTGCGGTGGGCAAATGTAAACTGGGCCCGAAGTTACCTTTTTTTTTGTAAACTCGGCCCGAGAATTTTAGGTAATAAAAATAGGTAGATTGTAAACTCAGCCCGGAAATTTCAGGTAGTAAAATAAATCGATTGTAAATTCGGCCCGAAAACATACATAGGAGAAGATTCTATGTTTCCGCCTGAAATGTGGGCCAGCGCATCAGTTGAAACGTATTTAACAACAAATGCATGTGAATCATTTCATGCGCATTTTAATTCCACTCACCCCAATATATATTCCGTCATTTCAAAATTAAAAGAAGTACAAACAGAAACGTACATTAAAATCAACAGCCTAGATGCACCATTTAAATTCCAAAATATAAAAACNATGGCGATGTCATAAACGGTTATGCTGTCAACATGGAGGTAATAAATTGGATTCGTGAACAGCTGATAACCCAGATGATGAATCGTATTCGAGAATGTAATTACGTAAACTGAAAAAATACTAAAGGGGGGGGGTTGAACCCCCAACCCCCCCCCCCTGTGTACGCCACTGGTAGGAACTATTAAATCGATTTTCTGTGGAATAATTTATACAGGGAATTTTGTCCGCGTCTTCAGTTTTTTTCTAATTTCTAATATTTTTGAAACACGATTTTAGTTAGTTTTAAAATTTGACCAGTAGTTTAGTTTATGTTCAACTTTTAATTGTTCTCAATACTCTCTGGTTTACTTCAACTAGAACCACAAAAATATTTGTTTGAATGTGTTGTATAACAATCTGCGATTATTATTATTAAAGTCGAAGTTAATATATTATGCACTAATAAAAAAGCTTAAAATAATAATATGTAAATACTGTCAAAAAACCTTGAAATATGTAAGTACTTAATAGCTAATAGATCAGTGCGTGTCCTCTTAAAATGCTTAAGAAATATTCAAAAATATACTTTTTATAAAATATTAATATTGACACAAATTATATTTGTTTGTTAAAACGTATTATATATACTTAGGTGTTCTTTTAATAATTATTTATCTTTATTGTTTTAAATAAATCTTCAACCTTTATAATACATTTAACTAAAATTGATAAATGTTTTAAAGAAAAAGAGAAAAGAACAATATTGAAGAATATTTATACCCTTTCAATGCTAAAAAACTTCCGTCCAAAAGGTGAAATCTAAATATTCTAAATACAATTTTTAACAATACTAATAATGTTAGATAATATTATATAATGTACAGAATGAAGAAAAAATAGTTTAATTTACACAAAATCTGTGTACTTGTGTGGTGAAAATTTAATATTCAAACAATTTTTTAAACAGATTAAATGAATTATAAGTTTTTTTACACAATTGCGTGCTTTTATTAATTGAACTTTGATGCCCAACTGTGATAAATTAATTTTATAAAGATATTTATTTAAATTAGTGTTAGATAATTTTGTTCCTAATATTATATCTGGATTCAGATTTACATTACACATATAAATTTCATGTTTATATTTATACATAAGTATTAGAATCTTTTTGAAGTATAAATATTAGAAACTGGGGGTTCTTTAAATTCATAATATGGCTAAATGTTTTAAATATTGGATTGTGAAGAATTAATCTCAATAGACTAGTAGAAATCCGAGCAGCCAAATGTATTTCCAACTCGCCAACCCTATCGATATATAATTCCCTATGAAAAGATTGATTGAACTATACCGAAAAAAATAGTTTTAATTCAATTTATATCTACAATGTAATATATTTATGTTTTGAATTTATAATGGAGCTTCTCATAAAGTATCATCGATACTTTGTAAATGTGTTTGTCTTATTTAAACGATTTATCAATAATAGTACCCGAGTATTTAAAATGCTCAGTTTCTTAAAATATATAGTTTATAATTTATAATTTTAAATTCAAATTATCATAATACATTGTTCAAATGTATGATACCTGCAGCAAATGAATGATGATTTTACAGTTATTTTATATTGTTGTAACTTATAACTGTGTAATGTGTATCATATCAATTCAGTTAGCTATGTTAATGTTATATGACCACAAGACTTTAAGTACATATTATAGGGATATCATAGATGGTGCAAATACTATACCCACAGTCGCGGATACTACTCGTGGTTATGACTTATTGTTACTTAATAAACGAAGTACAATTGTGGTCTTTCCCAAACACTACTTACAGAAATCGGAAAAAACATCATGTTAGAGTGGTATTTAGAACCACTCCAAGAAAAAAAAAAGTAAAAAAGTTGAATCTTGTGTTAGAAACGTGGTACATGAAAAAGGCCTTTTTTATATTTAGGACGGTTCTCCAAGCATGCTCACCCACATTTTCCTTTAATAGTCAATCAATTTAATTTTTGAGTCTCAGAACTTTTATGTATAGGTACTTAAGGACCATGGTTTTTATATATATTATATTAAAGTGTGTCTAAATGGAAAGTTACCATTTTTTTTAGATAGAATATACTATTATTGGTATTTTTATTTGGTAATCATATAAAATTGTATTTTTTAAAACCTTTCAAAATTTGATTTAGTTATAAACTCGTTTTATGAATAAAACGTGACTGTTTATCTTGTTATTGTAACGAAAAACAGCAGAATGCAGATTCTATGCACCACATGTAACCCCCATAAATTAATATTGACAAAAGTATAACTAATACCTAATTGTTTGGTTTTAACAAATCAGACTATTGGTTCATAATACTCAATTTACCTATACTCCATCAATTTGTTTTTTTTTTTATTTTTCGTATAAATGCGCGTATTCTGCACCGGCGTATCACATTTGAGTTAAGATACCAATACACTCTTTCAAAAAAAAAAAACAGACGACTTTTAAAAAAAAAATTCGATTAAATGCCTACAATATAATTTGGCAGGTAATATAATATTATGTCATATTGTAATGATATGTCTATCGTAATTCGCTTAAATGCTTCACTTTAATTCGTAGTTAATAAACAATCAAAATAATTTGAAATTCTATTGCGCAGTTCAATAAAATGTATACATTCGATTAGATCCATTTGCCCAGAGATCCCCGCACCTATTACTTCATTCGACCTCGACAGCGTCTGCATATATATATTTATATATTATGGTATACATAATATATATATAATAATAATAATAGTATGCATGGATTGGAAAAAAAATAAAGATTGACGGAACAGGAAAATGTCAACATCAGTTTACCGGCCAGAAATCTACAGTTCATTACAAACTTGAATAATATAATAAATAATAATTAATAATGAAAATATTAAAAAAAAAATTATGTATGTGTGTATATAAAAAGCGTTGAACTTATTTGCATACTATAAACCGCTTGTGATTTTAATGTACTCATACATAATAAGCATATTATATATTATTATTATGCATCCATAACTTACACAGAAATTGTTTTACCGATAAACCACTCAATGAACTAATACAGTAAGAAACTAACCGATGATCAAAGCACTCGCCGAAAAGGGACAAGTACCTACGTAAATATTAATTTAATTCTGCAGTAAGTATTCCATTACAATAATCTGGACGAGTATTTAAAAATCGTTAAATATATAGTATAATAGTATACACACTTCAACATGGGTAAATACAATATATTATTTTAATTTATTAATTTATTATCGAGAATTTTTTTTTTTTACATTTATTTGAATCTACAATCTGTAACGGCAGTTACAATGGGCATATGAGCGGAAATGTTCACTTTTGGGAGTGAAAAACGTGAGGGGAGTAGTTACCCAGCAGTAACACTCTACTTGATATTTGTTAGGCTATAATTGTATACATTTTTTTTTTCTATTACTTAGTTAAGAGTTTGGCAGTTCAGCTATTTAGGTCACGACACCAGTGCCTCTTTAGTCTTGCTGGTGGATTACCAGGAATTTTTGCAGAGTTTAGGGAGAGAATAAGCGGATTCGGGTGGTTTTTAAGGCGAGAGCGGAAACGCTTGTAGGATGATGTGGTCTCTTCGGCAACAGTTGGTAGTCCAAGATCTGAATGTTAGGTAAGGTTCGAAACATATAAAAGGGAGCGTTGGTATTTATACGAAGTGATATTGATTGGAATGTTTGAATTTTGTAGATGTTTGACTTTTTTGCGGCGCCCCATAATTGGATACGGTGAGCCCATTATCTAGATTTAAAAAAAAATTACAATACCTTGTATAGGTACATTAGTTTAAGCACATGAGTTTACTATTATTGTGTTTTATTTTTTTCTCTGTATTAATTGTTAAATAACTGTTATGATCCCAATGCCTAGAATTATATTAATGATAAATAAATAAATAATTATTTTAAAAAAAGAAATCCTGAAAATTCACGAACACAAGTTTTGTTGTCGTTGGTATTTTGGGGTCGTGTTACAAATATTATATTATTATTATGGATATTATGAAGCAACAATTAATACATCAAATAATTGCATACCATATATGTGTGGGAATATGATTACAATTTACAACTATGTAGGTATTTACATCGTAAATGTTAAATTTATTTTTTTTAAATGGAAATATCTATTTATAAAAACAACGTTAATATGATAAAGGCAAAAAGCTGTAGTTAATTTATTTAATGATGAACGATTTATTATTATTAATAAACTTATTCTCCTTCCTCCCTGGAAAATAACCTTATAGTCTAATAAATACTACTATGATATTATTGTCTAATTACCTAAACTACAAAAAATATTTTTTTTTTTAATCACTATTAAGATATGAAATAAGAATAAATATATGACCATATATTATTATAAAAACATATATGTGTAATATGTTGAAATAACATTATAACATCAAACCTCTATTTGGCTTACATTTGAGAATTTTTTATTTTGCCCCCCCCCCCCATCTAAAATTTTAGATGGGCACCAACGGGCAACAATTTTTAGTATCGCAAACAATATTAATTTTGTATAATTTCCACAAAATATACGTAAGTAGTAAATACCTAAATCAATGTGCATTAAAATATTTATTAAATAGGTAATATAAAACCGTATATAATATATAAAACATTTAATATCTTCGAAAATTAAATTTTGTTTTAGCAATATAGGTATCATTACAACAGCATTACGCGATACGAATATTATTTTTTATTAAACAACTGAAGTACACAACGACTCTAAATTGCCATGTTTAGGCTGACTGTATATAATGATTCACCAAGCATGATTATACTCTTTTTCTTCTTCAATAAAGCTGTTATTCAAAATCTGATTAATTAAATTTTTAAATATTCTTAAGACTGTATTTTAAAATTATTGAAATTTGTTGTACTACTTAATAAGAGTCCTGAGTTGATATATAATTCTGTTTTTCAAGCGAAATC